ACTCAGCAGGCTGCACTCATGAATCTTTAACTAAGAGCCTCTTTGTGTCTCTGCCTTTTTGTGAAATACAAGTCAGGATCCAAGAATGTAAGGCTTAACCCTGAAAAGGAAACCCTGTACAAACGGTTCCTTGAAAGCCAGCACGTAGCCTGTTCATAAATTTTATGATGTGTGAAGCACATGTTTAAGGAAGTATTTATTAGTAAGGCCATAAGTTAAATTAGAAAGGGTGGTTCATGCCTTGAATATTCCGTCATTTTCCATACTGTTTATGTATCCAGACCCAAGTGTGAAATTTCAATTTGCTTTTAATGTATCCACCTGACAAATGATTTACTCAAGTCAAATGTGTTTTCTTTTGGGTTCCCAGTAGTTATGTTTTGCAGTTGGGGGAGACTGGGAAAAAGCTTTTAAATTACTCTTTCAGCATTGAAATTTCTGTGTAAATTTTATAGAATAATTTCACTGGAGGATTTATTGTAATGTAGTTTATTTCTCCCTGAAAATTAGAGTATTTTATACTGGGGATACTGTTTAGTCATGGTACTGTCTCTAAAATTCACATTAGCATCACCAAGAGTATGAATGGCTCACATTAGAATACAGGTGCTGTGATGGACCATGGCCCCCCTGTGTTGATTTTTGCAAAGCTCCTGCCAGGGCACACCAAAAATAGAGCCTAGGCTGGAAAATTACAAACTTTGTGGAACTTAAAAGGCATTGAAACTACCCTGTGATAGTAAAATCCTGTAAATACGAAAATATTTATACAACAGACTATGTTGTCTATGGTACTGATAGTTTTGCTTTATATATACACTGGAGTTGCTATGTGAATATGGTTATTTTTGCACATGTAAAGAGTAACATATTTATTGAAAGAATCTAACTCAATCTGTATACTGAAAACTGTGTGTGTGTGTGTGTGTGTGTGTGTGTGTGTTATTCTTTAATGGGAAAATGACTCATTTAGAAACAAAAATTCATTAGAACGTGCTTCAAGTGTATGTGCCTGTATAACAGTGTGTGAGCAAAGCAGATGCTTCTTGAATCCATCAACTAGTCAAAATACAAACTCACAGTTTCTAAAACACATCTTGTGAAAAAGTTTTTTTTCAAACTATTTATTTATCATAACTTCATGCCACACAAGTCACTGAAACTCTCTCGCAAGTGACAACAGCCTTAAATAAAACCTAACCATCATGGATCACTGAAATACACTGGCATAAATCAAAAAAAGAGACTCTAGCTGACTTTTAAGCCTTGGTTCATTTCACAAAAGGTGAATAGTGATGTTGTTGCAGTGTTGTGCAATGAAACCTAGTCATAATGTTTTTTCTGCATTCAAAAGCCTGACTAGGAGCCAAGGTTTATCTTTAAACACCCATGCTTGAACAAGTTCAGACCAAGTGTTCCTACTTGTAACTTGCCATGCTTTCCTTTTTATCTAGTAGATTTCATTTATAAGAGACTGAATAAGCTACAAACACTCAGACATTGGACATAAAAATAGAGGTGACAACTGTATTTCAAGGCATCAAATGTTTGTTTTATGTGTAGTTGTTAAAACTGCAGACTTTGTAATCAGTTACCTGGATTTGACTAATTAGCTCTGCAAATTATTAGCTGCATGACTCAGGTCTCTCTTAACCTCTTCCATAACATGGGAATGCTGAAAGCATCTATTGCATATATATATTATGGGCATCAAACCAAATAGTATATGTAACACACCTAGCACTGTACGTAACACCTAGAAATTACTCAGCAAATATTAACCATAATAATAATAATAATAATTAGTAGTAGTAGTAACAGTGTAGTAGTCTACTATGTGCCAGGTGCTGTACTAGGCTCCTTGTATAATCTCATTGCATGGTCAACAAATGATCTGCAAGATAGATATAATTATGGATATTTTAATTATTTAAATTTAAATTATTTAACTTTGAACTATTTCAATTAACATTTAAGTTACATTATTCTAATATGAATCATTTAAATTAAGAGATGGAGGCTCAGAAAAGAGACCAAGAAACTAGATGATAAGAGGCAGGACAATGATTCAAACCCAGGCCTCTCTCTACCTCCATGTTCTTTACTCATGTCCTCTTTTATCCAGTACCAGTTACTTGAAGCCATTAAATTTATTTAAATTTGTTAAAATTAAATGATGTGCAAAACTTAGTTCTTCAGTTCCTCTAGCCATGTGCCAAGTCTCAACAGCCACATGTTGCTAATAGCTATGGTACTAGATGGTGACGATATAGAATATTTCTAACATCTCAGGAAGTTCTATTTGACAATACTAGAACCTAGATCATATTATTTCCCCAGGCTGGTTTGCTCTAAATAGGACATAAGATTTTTGTTCTAAATATTATATTTAAATTAACATTTAATGAATATAAATGTTTTGCTCTAAATAATATAACAAAGATTCATCAACAAATTAGTTAACCTTTTTTAATAAAGACTACATATTTGCTATAGATGGCCCTGAAGGCAATAGCTAATCGATCTAACTGTCTGTACAAGAATGAAAAATATGCTCTTGGCCAGACCATCAGAGTGCCCAAGAACTAGGAGAATCCTCAGTTATAGTTTAAACAACCTTTTTGCACAATAAGAATGAATGTATATGGGAATTCCTCAAGTCAATGTAAAAATGCCATATGAGTCTTTAATATCACAGCCACCTCTGATACTCTCTGGGGTGTATTTTCATTTGGAACTCAATATGTTTAAAGCTGTCTTCAATATTTTTTAAGTTTCTGAATATAGTCTTAGGTGTAAGCTTTGGAAAGGGGATTTGTTATTTATGTCCTTAGCACTGATATTTTGCCCAAGATATTTTTCTCCTACCTGGAAGCCAAATGATTTTTCTACTTAGACAGCCAATAAATATTTATGGCGTTTATCACCTTTTTGCAGATCTTTTTGATGGTGTCAGATATTACAATCGGGAAACTTTACATGCAAAGCAATGGGGACAGCAAAGCAACTACAGAACCCAATATTCAAAATATAGCCAAGTATACTGCCTCTTAAAAATAGGCCGTTTCATATAAAATTCAATCCTGTTTGATTTTAGAAGGAGTAACTGAGGAGACTTGGAGAACTTCATGCATGTGAAAGGATAGATGGCATCGTAGAAGGAGCATTAGATAAAGGATCAGGACATCCTCCACGGTATCTTAAATATACTTGAGCTACAGCATCTATCATACTGTGTTTTATTTGTCAGTTTCTATGTCCAATTCTCCCATAGACTATGAGCTCTAAAACCTACTGCCTATCACATGTCTTATGACATGGTAAAATGTAGCTTTATTGAAAAACTAAACAAATAAATAATTATTGGGTAACTGATATAACCAAAGAATATCTAGACCTGTATTTTGACCATCTCTCCCCACCAAAATTGTAATTATATCTGAAAACATTCACACCTCATTGTCTGCTACTGTTCTAGCCAACTTGCTCTGGATACAACATAGCCTGTGTGCTAAGCTGCTTCTCTTGGCCAAGGAGATTTAATTAACATTAAATTTTAGGTTTTCTCAAGTGTAGAAAACACTTCATAAACAATGTTTAAAAAAGAAAAGAAAAAGGAAATTCTATATAATTCTTTCAGTTCTGGTTAGTTCCACAGAGAGAGAGGACTTAAAAGGAGAAATTAGGAACCAAGATCAGTGGCTGAACATAAACTTGACTTCCTGAGAAGATATAAGTCATTTGGACCTCTGGATTTTATTGAATATTAAAGAATATTAACATAATCCAAAAGAATTAATGTAACCACTAGGGAAGCCTAATTTACAGTTTGCAATTTAGGCCCCGGAAACTCTGCCTCATTATGCAAGCTGTTATGCTTAATAACCCAGAAACTTTGGCAATTTATGCAGTTATAGTCTGATTAGGCCTTCTCACATACACATACCTGCTCACCTCTGAAAACGTCCATATGCAGCTTGCTGATGGAAGAGCGGGAGGTGGCTTCCTTATTCTTAAACTGGAGGCCTTGGGGTTGTTTCCTGTAACATGGCACATATTCCATCATTAGAAAAGTGAAGCATTGCTCAGGATGATATTGAGATCACAAGATCTCATTCTGTTACTTGTTAGGAAGGCTTGCCTTCCTAAGGAGAATTCTTTACTGAAAAATAAAGAACTCAAATGGATTAGCTAGTTAAGTCTTCCCTGAAAGTTGTCGATATCTGAGTTATTTCCCTTGGCAAAATTACATTTCCTTTGAGTCACACCACCTTTGGGAGAGCCCAGTTTGAAAGCAAATTATTTTTGATGTGTGTTTTGCTTTCTGCTTTTTTTAAGTAAACATTTTTATGAGCATTTAATCATGAGGAATCAGTGAGCTAAGGCATTTAACTTCTTATCTTCTGCACCATTTTCACCAGAGGGTCTCTGCATCTTAGGACCACACCTCTCATTTTTTCTTCCCCATGGACAGTTTTTGCTAACTTCAAAGAACAATCTGATCCCAGAGAAAGCTTCTTATCAGGTGAATAAGAGGAAGAAAGAGCTGTACTTTCCAAGGCAAACACTCTCCCTACCCTCAGGAATAGGCATATGGTGTTCTAGTCCCCCATTGTGATTTTATCACTTACTGGGAATTGAGCAATATCACTTGGCCATTGAAACATGCAGTGTCTCAGAGTTATTTCTAAGCAGTGTCCAGGCAGAGAAGTCTTAGGGACATACATATTAAGAGACATCCATAAGCTAAACAACATTCTGTCAACAAATGTGGCATAGTGACTACCTGTCAAGGGTCAGGCACAGTTGTAAGCAAAGCGTATAGTAAACTGGATGGCCCCAGGGAAGAAAAGCTGGCAACTTGGGCATTTCTAATATGAACAAAATTTGGTAAATTCCGTGATAAATGAAAGGTCAACTTGAATGACTTAGTCCCTTCCCTGAAGTTCTCATTGTATGTAAAACAATACAATCCCATCTGGTTTCTTCTTAATTCACAGAATGCCAGTACTGGGGCTCAGAGCTCCAGCTACCTACTCTGGATTTTGAAAACGTTTTAAAAAATGATGAGCATGCATACAAGTGGCTCTGCAGCCTCAAGAAAGTAGGCATAGTGCGACTCACAGGAGCATCTGACAAACGAGGAGAAGTTCTCAAACTTGGGAAAAGGATTGGTTTTCTTTATCTCACGTTTTATGGGTGAGTCACCAAATAGTTTGTGCTCTATCATTATTTATAAAGCTTGACACATTTCCCAGAAGGGGGATTCGTTTGACTGGTGATACAGAAACTTCTATAATGTCTTAAGCAGGAAGTCAGATGGGAAGATGAGTCTAAAAGTGGAATTTCTCCAAGAATGACTAGGAGCCTTAAAGTCCAAGACATCAGATGCCAAAGACAGGCTAATTATAAGTGGTGTATAGTTTGCTAAGGCTGCCACTACAGAATACCACAGACTGGGTGGCTTGGGTTGGAAGCCCAAGATCAAGGCGACGGCAAATTTGGTTTCTGATGAGGAATCTCTCCCTGACTTTCAGATGGTCACTTTCTCACTATGTCCTCAGATGACCTTTCTTTGTATAATGATACCCACACACCTGGTATAATTTCTTCTTCTTAAAAGGACACCTACCCTATTGGATTACTGCCCCACCTTTATGATGTCATTTAACTTGAATCATCTCCTTAAAGGCCCTGTCTCCAAATATAGTCATATTGGAAGCTAGAGCTTCATCATGTGAATTTGGGGGAAACAATTCAGTCCCAAACAGGTGGGATGGAAGATTGTATTTCTCCAAGACTTTTGTAAAACACTCAGCTTTACAAATGTTAAAAGTTCATAGCAGTTTTACCTCCCAAGAGTTGGCGTAAAATAAATGTTTTGCTCTAAATAATATAACAAAGATTCATCAACAAATTAGTTAACCTTTTTTAATAAAGACTACATATTTGCTATAGATGGCCCTGAAGGCAATAGCTAATCGATCTAACTGTCTGTACAAGAATGAAAAATATGCTCTTGGCCAGACCATCAGATTGCCCAAGAACTAGGAGAATCCTCAGTTATAGTTTAAACAACCTTTTTGCACAATAAGAATGAATGTATATGGGAATTCCTCAAGTCAATGTAAAAATGCCATATGAGTCTTTAATATCACAGCCACCTCTGATACTCTCTGGGGTGTATTTTCATTTGGAACTCAATATGTTTAAAGCTGTCTTCAATATTTTTTAAGTTTCTGAATATAGTCTTAGGTGTAAGCTTTGGAAAGGGGATTTGTTATTTATGTCCTTAGCACTGATATTTTGCCCAAGATATTTTTCTCCTACCTGGAAGCCAAATGATTTTTCTACTTAGACAGCCAATAAATATTTATGGCGTTTATCACCTTTTTGCAGATCTTTTTGATGGTGTCAGATATTACAAACGGGAAACTTTACATGCAAAGCAATGGGGACAGCAAAGCAACTACAGAACCCAATATTCAAAACATAGCCAAGTATACTGCCTCTTAAAAATAGGCTGTTTCATATAAAATTCAATCCTGTTTGATTTTAGAAGGAGTAACTGAGGAGACTTGGAGAACTTCATGCATGTGAAAGGATAGATGGCATCGTAGAAGGAGCATTAGATAAAGGATCAGGACATCCTCCACGGTATCTTAAATATACTTGAGCTACAGCATCTATCATACTGTGTTTTATTTGTCAGTTTCTATGTCCAATTCTCCCATAGACTATGAGCTCTAAAACCTACTGCCTATCACATGTCTTATGACATGGTAAAATGTAGCTTTATTGAAAAACTAAACAAATAAATAATTATTGGGTAACTGATATAACCAAAGAATATCTAGACCTGTATTTTGACCATCTCTCCCCACCAAAATTGTAATTATATCTGAAAACATTCACACCTCATTGTCTGCTACTGTTCTAGCCAACTTGCTCTGGATACAACATAGCCTGTGTGCTAAGCTGCTTCTCTTGGCCAAGGAGATTTAATTAACATTAAATTTTAGGTTTTCTCAAGTGTAGAAAACACTTCATAAACAATGTTTAAAAAAGAAAAGAAAAAGGAAATTCTATATAATTCTTTCAGTTCTGGTTAGTTCCACAGAGAGAGAGGACTTAAAAGGAGAAATTAGGAACCAAGATCAGTGGCTGAACATAAACTTGACTTCCTGAGAAGATATAAGTCATTTGGACCTCTGGATTTTATTGAATATTAAAGAATATTAACATAATCCAAAAGAATTAATGTAACCACTAGGGAAGCCTAATTTACAGTTTGCAATTTAGGCCCCGGAAACTCTGCCTCATTATGCAAGCTGTTATGCTTAATAACCCAGAAACTTTGGCAATTTATGCAGTTATAGTCTGATTAGGCCTTCTCACATACACATACCTGCTCACCTCTGAAAACGTCCATATGCAGCTTGCTGATGGAAGAGCGGGAGGTGGCTTCCTTATTCTTAAACTGGAGGCCTTGGGGTTGTTTCCTGTAACATGGCACATATTCCATCATTAGAAAAGTGAAGCATTGCTCAGGATGATATTGAGATCACAAGATCTCATTCTGTTACTTGTTAGGAAGGCTTGCCTTCCTAAGGAGAATTCTTTACTGAAAAATAAAGAACTCAAATGGATTAGCTAGTTAAGTCTTCCCTGAAAGTTGTCGATATCTGAGTTATTTCCCTTGGCAAAATTACATTTCCTTTGAGTCACACCACCTTTGGGAGAGCCCAGTTTGAAAGCAAATTATTTTTGATGTGTGTTTTGCTTTCTGCTTTTTTTAAGTAAACATTTTTATGAGCATTTAATCATGAGGAATCAGTGAGCTAAGGCATTTAACTTCTTATCTTCTGCACCATTTTCACCAGAGGGTCTCTGCATCTTAGGACCACACCTCTCATTTTTTCTTCCCCATGGACAGTTTTTGCTAACTTCAAAGAACAATCTGATCCCAGAGAAAGCTTCTTATCAGGTGAATAAGAGGAAGAAAGAGCTGTACTTTCCAAGGCAAACACTCTCCCTACCCTCAGGAATAGGCATATGGTGTTCTAGTCCCCCATTCTGATTTTATCACTTACTGGGAATTGAGCAATATCACTTGGCCATTGAAACATGCAGTGTCTCAGAGTTATTTCTAAGCAGTGTCCAGGCAGAGAAGTCTTAGGGACATACATATTAAGAGACATCCATAAGCTAAACAACATTCTGTCAACAAATGTGGCATAGTGACTACCTGTCAAGGGTCAGGCACAGTTGTAAGCAAAGCGTATAGTAAACTGGATGGCCCCAGGGAAGAAAAGCTGGCAACTTGGGCATTTCTAATATGAACAAAATTTGGTAAATTCCGTGATAAATGAAAGGTCAACTTGAATGACTTAGTCCCTTCCCTGAAGTTCTCATTGTATGTAAAACAATACAATCCCATCTGGTTTCTTCTTAATTCACAGAATGCCAGTACTGGGGCTCAGAGCTCCAGCTACCTACTCTGGATTTTGAAAACGTTTTAAAAAATGATGAGCATGCATACAAGTGGCTCTGCAGCCTCAAGAAAGTAGGCATAGTGCGACTCACAGGAGCATCTGACAAACGAGGAGAAGTTCTCAAACTTGGGAAAAGGATTGGTTTTCTTTATCTCACGTTTTATGGGTGAGTCACCAAATAGTTTGTGCTCTATCATTATTTATAAAGCTTGACACATTTCCCAGAAGGGGGATTCGTTTGACTGGTGATACAGAAACTTCTATAATGTCTTAAGCAGGAAGTCAGATGGGAAGATGAGTCTAAAAGTGGAATTTCTCCAAGAATGACTAGGAGCCTTAAAGTCCAAGACATCAGATGCCAAAGACAGGCTAATTATAAGTGGTGTATAGTTTGCTAAGGCTGCCACTACAGAATACCACAGACTGGGTGGCTTGGGTTGGAAGCCCAAGATCAAGGCGACGGCAAATTTGGTTTCTGATGAGGAATCTCTCCCTGACTTTCAGATGGTCACTTTCTCACTATGTCCTCAGATGACCTTTCTTTGTATAATGATACCCACACACCTGGTATAATTTCTTCTTCTTAAAAGGACACCTACCCTATTGGATTACTGCCCCACCTTTATGATGTCATTTAACTTTAATCATCTCCTTAAAGGCCCTGTCTCCAAATATAGTCATATTGGAAGCTAGAGCTTCATCATGTGAATTTGGGGGAAACAATTCAGTCCCAAACAGGTGGGATGGAAGATTGTATTTCTCCAAGACTTTTGTAAAACACTCAGCTTTACAAATGTTAAAAGTTCATAGCAGTTTTACCTCCCAAGAGTTGGCGTAAAATAGCTTGGGCCCTGGGGGATTGAAACCAGCCATGAGATGTGTTAGAAAGATAAAACTAATATGCAGAAAATTAAGTCTGTGCATGTTAGCAAGTAACAGAAAATACAGTTTATTTTAACTTTGGAACAGGAGACTGTTTGCATAAAAACTGCCTGGAAGGTAACATTAATTATGGATAATGAAACACTAACAGGAAGCACATATCTGGAAGTTGGGGGATGACTGCATTTCAGATCTTTAGGGTGAGCCCCTCATGCAAGATGCTTACAATTATTCTTGGGCTCATAGAGTAGAGGGTACTGGAAGTGAAAAAGACCTTCAAAATCCAAAGGATGCAAACTGGTAGCACACAGGCTGTGTTTAGATGTGTTTTGTTTGGCTCATATGATACTGGAAGAAAATGGAATTAGTTGTCAACACTTAAATACCAGGAGATTATACATTAAATATGAATTTGACTTTTCTTAAAAAATCAAATCAGACAACAACTGAGCCTAGATCCCTGCATGACAACAACATGGTGGATATAAGTAGAGGCCACCCCTTGAAGAGAGCATGTTCTCACTCTGCAATTTAACTAATTCCATCCCCATCCCCATCCCCACCTAAGACCTGCAAGTTTGCCATGCCTAATCTGCAGTAATACTTCATCTGTGGATGAACAGATGATCAAGAATATTTGACCACTTAACCTCAGTGATTTGAGCAAGTTTATTCATAGCAAAAGGCTCTATCATGTTTAGGCTTGGATGATCCTGTCCCCACCCCCACCCCAAGAACTTACTATTACCATTAGCAAATTTGTGTCATACACATCTCCCCCATATCTGCAAGAATTCAATCTGATTCAAAGATTATAGCCAT